CCCCTCGGGAGGGCTCTTCCCGCCCCTCTGATCCAGCCTCAGGGCTGGGGCGGATGTGAAGGGAGACAGAGAGGAAGGAGAGAAGAAGGGGAGAATCCGGTGTGGCCACGCCCAGCCCCACAGCTGTGCATTCTGCTCACGCATGGAGGAGGCCCCAGCTCAGGGTAAGTGAGGAGTGAGCCTGAGGCTGAGGCGAGAGGCCTCGAGGCCTGTCACGGGAATCGGACCCAGCACACAGGGATTCGCCCGACCAAAGCACCACATGTGTCAGGAAGGGCCGTCAAAACATGTCACCGCAAGTGGCACATCAGGCCAGGTCGCTCTCACTCTGACTTCTTTAGTCAACACAAGTCACGTGACCCCGCGGGAGGCAGAGAGGTTGAGCCCTGCCCCGTGCAGGGACGAGAGAGCCACAAGTACTTGGCAGACGGCCGGCGACAGCCACAGGCATATACAGGGCTGTTTTGCCAAGCCCTGAGCCCTGCCGGAATCCGAGGCCACATCTCCCCTGCTCTGAGTCACACAGGCCTCTCAGCTCATTCTCAGCCTCTTTCTCCCGAAGGGAATGTTCTCTGTGCCCGGAGCCTCTTTTTACATCAGACCAGCCAGTTTCGGGCGATATGGTAACAGTCAGAAACCCGATTTTATTTATATCGCCATATGCCGAAAGCTTTATGTACATCTGCGCTGTGCCATTCACTGGCCGTGGGGCATCTTTTAAGTTGGGAGCAAGTTATTGAACTTCTCTGAGCCTCAGTTTGTTCAGCTGTAGAGTGAAGATAATAATAGATACTACTTCATAGGACTGTTGGAGTTGCTGTATAAAGAATAAGAGAGAAGAGGAGTATGTGTGTGTGTGTGTGAGTGTTTGTGTGTGTGTAAAAAACAGTGCCCAGAAAACAGGAATGTTTTAGCTATTTAGCTATTAATCTTATCCCTCGAGCTTTTCCTCGGGACCAGGTGTGGGGACCAGGACCGTGCTCATCACAAGCTGTGTAAGGACACGGGGAGGTGTGGGGAGGAGCGTTAGCTGGCACGGCCTCGGGTCTTCACACTTTGGGAGTCGGCCATCTGCGATCAATTAGCCCCAGTGCCACCGATCTGTGTGTCCGCGACGACAGCCACACTCATCTAGGTCCTCGGGTGTCCTTCCTGCCTGCTCCATCTCTGCGTGCACACTGTCACCCAGTTGGCCTCAAGCCGGCAGCCGCTGTGCCCAACCAGAGCGATCACCCGTGAAGGCCACGGGCTGTGGTGGTCAGAACCACAGACCCTGGGCCCAGGCTGCCCGGGTTCGAAGCCCAGCACGACTGCTCACTTCCCGTGGGACCCCGGGCCAGCAGCTGAGCCCCGGCTCAGGAAGGACGGTGTGTGTCGTAGAGGGTTTTCTAAGGAAGGGAAGCGTTTGCGCCTCGGAACTGTGCCTGGCCCGGAGAAACGGCTCGGTGTGTGGTGTCCGTTTTCCTCAGCACGTTACATGCCTGAAGTTGTCGTGTTTGTTCCTCTTCATCTCTGGTTTACTGGCCGTCCCTTCCCACTCAGAGATGCCATAGTGACCCCTCAGTGCCTGAACCAGCACGTCGTATTTGCTCAGTAAATATTTTCTAGATATAGTCATTCACTTATGTATCCTCCGCCTTCATCGAAGGTCACCACCCCCCTAAAGTGTCACTCACGCATCTCCTCTCACTCCTTATTTATTTATTTTTTTAACCCTTCTCAATGTCCTAGTCGTAGACCCTAGCCCTGCCACTCGTTAGCTCCGTGACCTTGGGCAGTCGCTCCCCCGCCATCGTCAGGTTCCCTAAGACCTCCCTCGAGTTCAGTGAGAACTCAGCCAAGCCGTCACGCTACAGTTTATCACAGTGAAAGGATGCAGACGACAGTCAGCACAGGGAAGAGGCTCATGGGACGGGGTCTGGGCGAGACCAGGTGTGAGCTCTCAGTCGTCTCTCCCAGCGGAGTCCTACGGACACCGCCTTGTTCTCCCAGCGACAATGCATGACAATGTGCATTAAGTATCGCCAACCAGGGAGGCCCCCCTGAGCCTCGGTGTCCAGGGTTTTTGTTTGGGTTCGGTCACGTAGACATGACCGCCTGCCTGCGTGGCTGACCGTCTCCAGCCCCTCCAGAGGTCCAGCTGATCCTGTGTGGCCCAGGAAACCCAGATAAACGAAGACAAGAGCCGAACTTTTCTTTGTAATGTGCAGGGTTCGGACACCCCAGGCCTGCTGCATTAATCCATCCATTACTCTGTATCTGGAGTCTTTCTGCCTCGATTCCCGCATCTGCAATATAAGGAAAATAATGGTCCCCTCTAAGCAGTGACCCTCAATCAGAGGGCCCCACAGCAACCTCAGTCCCATTAGCCTGTCTCTTGAGCATGCCCTCCATGCTCAGGTAATAATAATAACAGCAGCGGACGCCCAGTAAACACTGCCTCTTGCCAGGCGCTGTTCTACATGCTTCGTGCGGATCAACCCGTTTAATCTTCATCGCGATTTTACCACGTTGACGCGGTTACGCTCCCCACCTTTGCAAACGGGAGCAGCTGAGGCGCTGAGACGTTCGGACACGTTCCCTAAGTCACACAGCTGGTGTGCAAATTCACACGGCTAGTAACTAGAAGAACCTGGATGTGGATCCCACGGTCTGCCTCCAGGGTCCAGGAACTTGACTACCCAGAGCCAAGATGAAATTCACACCGGTCATGCTATTGCTCAAAGACGCTGGGCCAGTCCAACAGGGCAGGACCGGGCGGGCCCACCTCAGCCCCTTCCCTCTCCTCAAGGCCTGGCACGGAACTAGACACCTGGTAGGTGCTCGGGAAATGCCATTTAATGAACAAATGGCCGTTCATGAAAAGCTTCCCTGCCCTCTTTAGAAAGAAAACTCAACATCAGGAATCTGTTTTCCCCTTAATGGAAGTCAGCTTCTAGTTAGGCGAGGGCTCGCCAGCCCCGGCCAGGTCTCGAGGCAAATGCATTCCGCTGTGTTTGCTTTCCTCCGATTCCTGACTCCCAAAGAGAAACGGGAAAGGACCTAGAGGTTATTGTGCTGAGTGAAATAAGTCAGACAGAGAAAGATAAATACCACACGATTTCACTTACATGCGGAATCGAAGGAACGAAAAGGACAAACTCATCAAAAACAGACTCACGAATGTAGAGGACAATCTGGTGACGGCCAGAGGGGAGGGGGGAGGGGCTGGGAGAAAGGGGCGAAGGGTTAAAGAAGTTCAAATTAGCAGTGGGGAGAGGGTCACGGGGATGGGAGCACAGCAGAGGGAAGGCAGTCAGCAGTGATGTAATGGCTGGGCGGAGAGAAGGAGCAATGGGGGCGGGGGGGATGGTTGTATGAGCTACATAAACGTCTAACCAAGTACTGCAGACTTGAAACTAGTAAGAGAATAAAATTTTAAAAAGGGACTTCCTTCATACGACAGAAACGTGTAAATCGTCTAACCCATCCCACCTATTACGACTTTTCACGAGACGTGATGGACACATCACATCGGTTTCAAGCCGACATCTGTACATACTGTGAAACGATCCCCACAGTAAGTCCAGTTAACGTCTGACGACATCCGTCTTTCCGTCGCTTCTAGACAGCGCTGTCGAGTAGAACGGTCTGGGGAGACGGAGGTAAATGTTAGGTCTGCGACAGCCAGCGGAGTAGCCACCAGCCTCGTGGGGCTCCGAGCACTTGAAATGCGACTCGTGCGACTGGGGGCGTTGAATTTTTATCGATTTTTAAACGTTTTAACCTAAACGTTAATAGCTGCATGTGGCTAGTAGCTAACGTGTTGGACCGAGGAATTCAAGATCGAAACTTCTGCTGAGATAAGTTCAATCATAAAGCAATAGCATAAGAATGAATGATGGTTGAAGAAATGACCATAGCGTTGTAACTAATTCAGTAGTAAGCTTACTCCGTTTTTCGGTAAAATTTATTGAATCCCAGTACTTTTTAAGCCGCTGAGTGATTTTAGCGTTAGGACGGCAATTTCCTGGTTCTCTTCGGATTCTACGAGAGTTTTTTTCTCGAGTTTTGTTTTTTTGTTTTCTTTTTGTTGTCATTTTTTTTTTCCCCCTTGAAGGCTGAGAACTGCCCAGTGCTCTCTAGCCGGTCTTGGAAGATGAGGTTGGGTCGTGGCAGGGTGGATTGAGGAGAGATCTGTGCTCTGTATTCAAATCCTAGTTGGTCTCTGTATTCAAATCCTAGTTCTGAAGCTGTGGGTCGGCTCCAGCAGGGCCTGGCTGAAGGGGCCCTGACCATCGCCAACCTCCCTGCCCAATTAAGTGGCTTTTGCACACTGATAATGAGGCCAGGGTGGCCGAGGCAGTGAGAGGGACAGAGGAGGAGGGCCCAGGGCCCGCTCGCCCAGCCCGCAGCATGGTGTGAATTCTGCATTGTACTTACATAGCGGGGCGTGTGACAGGAAGTCCTGAGAAAGATTTTCACACGGGAAGGGGTGATCCAGCTGGAGTTTGGGAAACACCCCTCTGGCGCCCGTGTGGGGAGCAGACAAGGGGACTCAGGTGGGGACGGGCAGCCCGGCTAGCGGCGGCTACCATAATCCAGGCGAGAGGGGCCGGTGGTGGTCAGGGGGTGGGGGGACTGGTCAGATTCCGGACTCGTTTGGAAAGTCACGGTGCGTGGTGAGCCAGTGATGGACACGGGGCGACTGAGAAGGGGCGGGCCGCGGGGGCGAGAAGCAAATGCGGCTTTGGGCGACCTGTCTCGAGGGATGCATGAGCTGTCCAGGGGCCGCGTTGCTTCAGAGGCAGTTAAGTAGGTGGGTCTGGAGCCTGGAGATACAGCATGGGGAGATATCAGCGGAGGGGAGGTATCAGCAGAGGGGTGATGGCGGCTGTGTGGCTGGATGAGATGGCCTCGGCAGAGCCTAGAGAGGGGGAGGGGGAGGGGGCCAGGTCAGGCCCGCGGCACTGCAGCAATCGGAGATGCAGCGGAGGGAGCAAGCACAGGTGACTGCAGTGGACATGCCTGGGCGGAGGGGACACCGGGCATCCCGGGGCGGCAGGAGCCAAGAGAGACCTGTGCTCCAGCAAGGGGGCAGTCACCACCCTGAGCGCTGCCCAGAGCCCAAGACAGTAATAATAGCTGGTCTGATACGTGCCAGCCATCGTTCCGAGCTTTGGGCACAGATGATCCCGTTTTAGCCTCACCGCAACCCTGTTTGATAGGCATCGTTATCCCCATTTTGCAGACGAGGAAACTGAGGCCAAAATGCAGGGGAAGTCACTTGCCCGAGGACTCACAGCTAGTAAGCGACAAAGCCAGCCTTCACAATCAGACTGCGTTCCCGGAGCCTCCACTGCAAAGACGCCGGCTTCGGGCATCAGCAGACGCTCACGCGTTCGCGTGCTCGTTCAGGGCGGGCTGAGCTGGTACCTGGGCCAAGTGCCATTCAAAGGATCAGGGATGCAAACGTGAACTCAACGCTGGCCTGGCGGGGCGGGGCCTACATCTCCGGGAGGGCAAAGGGGCGACAAACAGATCACATCGAGATGCGACACGCGTCAGGGTAGTAAGCGCCATGGCTGAAGGGGCTAGCGGGATGTGTGCTCAGGACGGGCAGAGCAGGCCTTCGTGAGGACGCGGCCTTTGCGCAGAGATGACAGTGACGGTAATAGGCACTTTGAGAGTGATTATTGTTGAATCATAGTAATATCATTTGTGCCAGGCAGTAGTCTAAACGCCTTAATCGACTTCGGTCATCCAATCAGGGATAACTGTCACCATCACCATTTTACAGATGAGGTGGAGGTCAGGGAAGTTGCTGGAAGCCACTCAGCTGAGAAATGTCAGCCCGGGCAGTCTGGCCCCAGAGGCTGCTGGACCAGAAGCTCCATGTGGGAGGGAATGACTACTTCCTGGAAGAGGAAACTGGGGAACGAGGAGGTTAAGGAGGAAACTGAGGCACAGAGAGGTTATGAAGGGAGGTTAGAAAGTGTGGGGCCTGGACTCAGGTCCCCCGCAACCTGGCTCCACGGTCTGTGCGTTTCTTACTACGCCAGTGGCTCTCACACTTGAGCCTGCGTGGGCATCTCCTGGAGCGCACGTCACTGCAGATTGCTGGGCGCCGCCCCCGGAGTTCCTGACCCAGCAGGGACTGGGCGGCCTGAGAATGTCCGTTTCTGTCAAGGTCCCCGCAGGCGATGCTGATGCTCCCGGCCCAGGGCCCACACTTTGAGAACCGCTGCCCTAGACTAGACTCCCTCTCGGCGGCGCATGAAAGAATGAACACATCGTCCCGAATAGGGAAAAGGACTCAGGCTGTCGAGTGTGCAGAAATCACACGGCTGTTTAGACGGCGGTGCCCGGATCGCAGACACGGGCGGTCGGCCTCCGGGGGCCTGCACTGCCTCCCGCCGGTCAACGGAATAAATGCACGCCCGCTTGAATGGGTGGATTCCCATTTCCCCAGGGGTGGGGGGAAAGCGAGGTCGGGGAGCTGGGGCGGGGGACGGCCCCGGCGTCCCTGACCTGCCCCCCTGTCTCCCTGCCCGCAGGTGAAGCTCGTGTTCATGGAGAACCAGGCGGTGGTGGAGACCGTGTTCTTCCTGACGTCGCGCACGCGGGCGCTGCTGCGGCGCTTCCCGCGCATGCTCCTGGTGGACCGGCTGCCG